ATTTTTTTCACAAGTTTTATAAATTTTTGTTAAATAATGATAAATAGTTGTTGAATTTTTAATGAATGGTCAATGAACTTTTAATAAATAGTTTTGATAAATAGTTACTGGATTTTTAATGAATAGTTAACAAATATTTGTTGGATAGTTTTGACAAATAGTTGCTAAATTTTTAATGAATAGTTAACAAATTTTTGATGAATTATTATTAATAAATTAATACTGAATTTTTATTGAATTGTTAATAAATAATTTTGGAATGAACTTTTAATAAATTTTTACTAAATAGTTAATGAATTATTTGATTAATTATTAATAAAATTTTTGATAATTTATTATTAAACTTTTAATTAATAAATTTTTGATTGCCAAATTTTTTGATTGTCAAATTTTTAATTGCTGAATTTTTAATTGTTGAATTTTTGATTGCCACTTTATTGCCAAAATAGTAATATACCAAATGGTAGTAATTAAAAAGAATTCAATAATATTTTTATTATTAAATTTAATTAAATTCAGTAATAATTCAATTGCCAAATAATATAATTTTGACTAGTATCAATATACAATTTAATTTATTATGATACAATTGTTTTATGTATTTTTATCAATTTTTATATTAATTAATAAATATATAATGTTGGCCTAACCATGGATTTAAAAAAAAAAATTAATGAACTTTTTTAAAGAAACTTGAATCATATTTCTTTTCTTTTTCATTTTTTCATCTTTTCTTTATTAATGGTAACAAATTGTTAACAATGAACCTAGTAAATAAAGATTTATATCAATTCTCTAAAGAAACAAAATATTGTTTCCAAGACATGACTTAAAGTGTAATGATGAATTAATCATTATGTAATATAAACTTTTAAACCATGCGACATGGTTGCGGGTTAATATAGCAATGTACTGTACAGTATATAAGAAATCTTATATTCACGTATCACAAAGGCTCTGATTTGTGACACGTGATTATCAAAATGCGGCAAACTCTCGCATACGTATACATATATACAGTATATTGAGATAATCATGAGCAAAATCAAATTTGTTCGTTCAGTCACGAATCATTTCAAGTTTTATATCCAGCGAAAAATCAGGTCAAGTTGTCCGATAGTGAGTACAGCGGTTCAACCTACTTTTGGAGTTCACCTTTTCACAAGTATGGCCGTGTTTAACCGTACCAGTCTGGAAGAATTATTAAAGAAACGCTTTTTCTACGCGCCCTCTTTTCAAGCTTATGGAGGTAATTGGGACTTTTAAAATGCTACGTGTCATGAAAATGTCGATACCATTTCGGATAACTCTCTTTGTCATTTAATTATGTAAGGTGTGGCAGGTCTTTATGACTTAGGGCCACCCGGTTGTGCCCTCCAGTCCAACATAATTGAATTGTGGCGTAGACATTTTGTGTTGGAGGAAGAAATGCTTGAGATGGACGGTACCATCATGACGCTAGGAGAAGTTCTAAAAACATCTGGTCACGTGGATAAATTTGCAGACTGGATGGTCAAAGACATTGAAACCGGAGATTTCTTCCGTGCTGACCACTTGGTTGAGGCAGTATTGGAATCGAGGCTTGAAGGTGACAAGCAAGCTAGGTCAGAAAAAGTTGGAACCGAGGGGGTGAATTCTGCAGCAGATAAGAATAGAAAAAAGAAAAAGAAGGGGAAAGTTAATGCCATAGAACTTGAAGAGGGTACGAAAGCGGAATATGAGGAGATCTTGGCGAAGGTGACTTTTTGTTTTATTGAGAGTCAAAGGAATTCAAAGTCTCACATTAGGAAATGATCGTGAATTAGATCGACAACTACACTGGCGCAGAGCTTGGAGAAATCATACGTAAACACAACATAAAAAATCCTGAGACGGAAAATGACCTGTCTGAACCCATCGAATTTAACTTGATGTTTGAAAGTAGTATTGGCCCTACCGGGCACACAAAAGGGTAACCGGTCATCATGTCACTTTAAGCGCATTAATTTAAAAGGTTTGATTTGAGAATGACCTATCGCCCTGAATTTAGTTATCTCCGGCCGGAAACAGCACAGGGTCAATTTCTCAACTTTAAAAAATTCCTCGAGTTCAATAATGATAAAATGCCTTTCGCTTCCGCATCAATTGGACGTTCATTCAGGAACGAGATTAGCCCAAGATCCGGTCTTATCAGAGTTAGGTGAGAAATTCAGTCGAAATACTACCTCACTTGATTTGATGTAAACCATGTATATATATCCGCTCTTCAAATATTCAGAGAATTTACGATGGCCGAAATTGAACATTACGTGGATCCACAAAACAAGGATCACTTGCGTTTCGATGAAGTGAAAGATGTTCGACTTCGCCTCTTATCGCAAAACATACAAGCAGAAGGAAAGACGGAACCAATCGAAATATCTATAGCCGAGGCCGTAGAAAAAGTATATATGATTTGATGATTAAATAATTCTCGGTGCAAATCATTAAACATGCTGGTTCTTTGTAACCGTAGAAAATTGTGGACAACAAAACTCTGGGATACTTCCTCGCTCGAATATACTTGTTCCTAGTTAAACTCGGAATCAAGACCGAGAAACTTCGGTTTCGTCAACACATGCCCAACGAAATGGCACATTACGCTTGTGACTGTTGGGATGCCGAAATCCAAAGTAGCTATGTTTGTGATCATTTTATTTTCTCTGTGATCACTCTTTCATAAAGATGTTCGACAGCTCTAATTGCTGATAAATAGGGATGGATCGAGTGTGTTGGTTGCGCGGATCGCTCTGCCTATGATTTGACGGTTCATTCGAACCGTACAAAGGAAAAACTCGTCGTGCGAGAAAGCTTGCTCGAGCCACTGGTTTATGAAAAAACTATTTTAGAAATAAACAAAAAGATCTTTGGTCCTAAGCTTAGACAAAATGCGAAAACCGTTGAAGATTATCTGCTTAGCCTGAATGAAGAACAGCTGGAGGTCTTGAAGAAGGCATTAGAAGATGGAAATGGGTATCTTTCTATTCTTTCTTTTTTAAAAAAAAACTTTTGATTGGTTCAGCCATGCTCAAATCATTTATAGCAACACATGGTTTTGATTCATATTTGTTCTAAGCACCACCACAGTTCCCGGTACAGACGGTAACGAATATGAGGTTTCTAGAGACTTTTTTACCATCCGAAGACAGACCATTACAGAACACAGTAGGCATTATTCGTGCTGTCTTGATTTCGTTGTCTTTCAGAATATGCAATCTGACTTCAGAAAATTTAATTTTTGGGGAGCATGCAGTTAGGGAATATGTTCCCAATGTGATAGAACCATCGTTCGGTATTGGTCGTATCTTGTATTCATTGATCGAACATGTTTATTGGACTCGTGAGGGAGATGAGCAAAGGGGGGTAAGTTAATCGCTCACCATTAATATTAGTCGATCTGCGCCGTTTATCAAATTCATTCCACGACTCGAAATGTTTAATAGGTTTTGTCCTTCCCGCCGCGTGTTGCGCCATTCAAATGCCTTCTAGTTCCCCTGAGTAATAATCCATCGTTTACGGATCTCGTTCGTAATCTTTGTATGTGCTGCATTTTTTGTGCTTCATTTTAGTTGTGACCTTAAACCATACAGTAACTTTTGAAAATTGTGAATATTCAAAGCCGTAAAACTTCGTAAACTTAATGTTGCTACAAAAGTTGATGATTCTTCCAATTCGATTGGACGTCGATATTCACGTAACGATGAGCTTGGCACACCATTCGCCGTCACCATCGATTTTCAATCGGTGAACGATGGAACAGTGACATTGCGGGAGAGGGATACCACAAAACAAATCAGAGAAAAGGTAAGGAGTAAAATAATAGCTCCTACCTTAAGGGTTCACAAGCTAACCATCTTGAACTTGCTTAGGTTGACACCATTCTCCATGTTCTAAAAGAACTGCTCGAAGAAGAAACCACTTGGGATAAGGTGATAGAAATATACCCCACATTTACACAACAAGAACTTGATTGAAAAGAGATTATCTCGTTCGAATGTATTGCTATTTACGATTGCGTGAATTCTTAAGAAGTTGTTAATTTAAAAGTTTGCTTAATAAAAATCAAGATACTCGTTGAAATCTGTCTTTTTGAAAGGAAAAAAAAATAATCAATATTTTCATTCTTCAAGATCTTCCAATTAAAGAGTACCGTAATAATTAGTTGAGATTTGAAGGCATTTTTATTAAAATTATAATATAAGCATGTCAAATGCATTTTGCATGGTAATTTTTTGCAAATGAGGTTCTTATTGCATATGTGGTGGTTTAAATACTGGAAGCGGATGCGCCTCAGTGTTGAATACATATTCATCTAAAGGTATTACATCATCGGGTCCGAACAATAAATATAGGTACTTTAAGGTTTCGGCCTGTCATGATAATAAAAAAAGAAAATGCATTTTAAACTAATGGTATATAAAAATAAGAAAAAAATTGATAAATAGAAACGAACCATCCAGAACGTTTCCATCTTGTCGCGCCGGCTCGGCGGTATGGAGGTAACATCATCCAGGGAAGTGTAGCCACCTTCATCGATTTTTGAATACTTCTCGAATGCTCGGAATATTTTCCATCCCCATTCTCTGATAAATTCGTGATTTCTTAGATGCGTATTTGCACTTAAAGTGATCAGCCAAGGATAAACGAAACATTACTTACCGGTATTTAACATCACCAGTAATTCTCCATAGTATGAATAAACTCTCCACAGTTTCGGGTCGAAGCAAATTATGGCGATCTTGTTTCTTTATGATTATGTCTTCGGCAGAATTTGTGAATGTGTTGAAGTATGCAATCTCCGGGGCTAATCCGGTTTGGGTGCTGAAATACATTTGGACACAGGTCCTTGTTAATTCTTTTCCTATGTTAAGATCTTCTATGTCATTCTCGCTCAAATCCCCCATCTCCTTGATTTTTTTTCCTTTTGTCACACCAAGAATCAAATTTCCTCCCATGAAGCACACGAGGTGATCCATTTTATTGTGGAAAATTTTGTCGGAGGCATGTAACAATTCCCCGATGAATAACAAGTTGGAAGGGTATGAATATTTTACAAGATGTTTTTTAACTCCGTGCATAGCCTCATCGTACATACGGCGATAGTACCGTTCGATGCATGAGGTCTGAAGGTATTGCTTCAAAAGGTATTCTAGTCAAAAAGTTCTTTGAGGAAGTGATCGTTCATGTTCTCCAGGAATTCTACCGATTACAAATGATGGGGACAACATACCATAGTAACTGTCACCGCGTGCGCCCAGCGTTATCGTTTCTCCAGAGAATTTGCCAAATTCGGGACTAATAATGATAAAACAATTGTTGTCAGATTCCACTTCAAACTGCGCATTGAGGATATAACAGACCTTAAATAAATTGGTACCAATCCATCGAACTTGGGAAGATTATCGATCATAAACATTACATTTTCAACTCTCGACCAGTAATCATAATCACCGCTAATGTAACTTAAATATTTAAATTCCAATTGCAAAGTTGTTGCTTCTGATGTCGAACTTACTCCTCCACTGAAATGTGAAGGAATTCCCTTGCGTGTAGCCAAATTTACTGACGAATAGGGAATTCCTGTAGGTGAATCGAAGGCGCCGAGCAAACGACTACCCAAATCAATTGCTTTTTGGAGATAAACAGTGTCGTTTCCGGATAAATGATATGCGCTCAGTAAGCCACCGAGGACTCGAATTGTTGTCTCGAAAACATTTGAATTTCCGTCAACATCAAAGTCCAAGGAATTTGCTATCCAATCGCGAGCTTTCAAATATTCGTCTTTGAGGTTCATTATCATAAGAGTGTCTATGGAGTCCACTATAGTAAAGCCTATTCCTTTTTGAGTTAAATTTGATCCAGTGCAAGAGATTGGATGATATTCGTCGTATCCCCAGGCATCACGTACATATCCAGCCCATGCATGTTGAAATGCTTTTCGCACTTCTTTCTGACATCTCGACCATCTTTTTTCTGGTGACAACGAGTCCAATTCACTGTCTAGTATTCCGAAATCGCCTTCTGACCACAAAAAAAGATACACAATGTAGAGCAATGTGCACAGTGCAACTAAAAGCAATCGTATAGTTGACACATATTTTCCCTAATATTATAGATTCTTTGTCATTCATTATATCTGTTCTGAATATATATCAAGAATTCTATTCTACTCACTGTGGAAGAAACGTGCCGGCGTTTATAGGTTCGACCGTCGTTGTATCCTGTAACATATTCAGTTAATCAGTGAAGCAAGTATTTCCTAGAACATGATATCACCCACCGTCAACGGTTATCGGGAGCATGCTACCGCTTTTGGCCTTCTTCCTTTTATTTCTTCTTTAATAAGGAATGTGAATGTCGGCACGGAAAGAGTTTTATAAATTGTAACAAAGGTAGTTACACTGTTTTATTTGAAGCCACAATATAGTATACATTGTATAAATAAATTAAATTGAATAATTCTTCTTTGGCGACAAAAACGCTAGTATGAATTTATATCGTGTTACGTATGGCATGTCCGATACAGTATATATTTTTTTAATCTACAACCATGCCACATGACTTAATCTTTATTGAGAAGTTTTACTACAATATTACATAATAATTAACTCATTATTGCATTAAAGTACTCTAAGTCAGATCTAGGGAACAATATTTCACTCTCCTAGAGAATTGATATAAATTTCTATCCACTAGATTTATTGTCAATAGTTTATCACTATATATTGTTTCAAAATTATAAATTGTTAATTAATAAAAAAAAAAAGAAAAAGAAAAAAAGAGAAAAGGAATATAATTCAAACTCTTTTAAAAAAATCTATCAATTAAACAATCCCTTCTAAAAGGGATTTGTCAAATTGAAATATTTTTCTTATTTTTACTTAAATCTTGAAAGAAATCTTTCTTGTTATTACTTGTGATATTAGATACAATAAGTCAATTCAATTACAGTATATTTATTATTTAAGTGAGTATTAAATTGAAATGGTTTAATAAAAATTTAAAGATTTCAATTTTTAATTAAATAAATCTTTTCATTATATAAGAAACTTAAAAAAATAAAATTTCACAATTTACATTATTTATCTTTTACTTTTTGATATTTTAAATATCTTCCTTAAAAACTTGAAATTTTTGAAAGAAAACAAATTTCAGAATTTTTTTTTTTCAATTATCATTAATATTATTAGAACATATAAATATAATTAAAGAAGCTAGTTATTCTTAGTCATGATCTTCATTCTATTTCTATTTTTATCTATTTATTTATAATTATTTCTTTGATATTCTTTAATATTCTT